TCTCGGCGGATGAAAATGCAATGGCCTTCTCAGCAAATGAAAAATGCAATGGCCATCTTGGCAAATGAAAAATGCAATGGCCCTCTCGGCGGATGAAAATGCAATGGCCTTCTCAGCAAATGAAAAATGCAATGGCCATCTTGGCAAATGAAAAATGCAATGGCCCTCTCGGCAAATGAAAAATACAATGGCCCTCTCGGCAAATGAAAAATACAATGGCCCTCTCGGCAAATGAAAAATACAATGGCCCTCTCGGCAAATGAAAAATACAATGGCCCTCTCGGCAAATGAAAAATGCAATGGCCATCTTGGCAAATGAAAAATGCAATGGCCCTCTCGGCAAATGAAAATGCTATGGAAAATGCGAATGATGGATGACCCAATGATATTCCACTGTAACGAAGTGGATGACTCTATGATTGTCCAACTGTAACTTGGATGACTCGATGACTGTCCAACTGTAACAAGTTGGATGACTCGATGACTGTTCAACTGTAACAAGGTGGATGACTCGTGTGTCTTGAAAATGTCATCATCTTGATGCTTTCACCTGTTCCTGTATTCGAAAATGAACGATTAGTAGACATAGTGTCGCTTTAGCTAGCAACTTGATCAAGGAACTTTAAGGAAAGATTCTCAAGAGAATGTGTACAAAGTGTCTGATCACTTTGACACAAGGGAGCAATCATCATTTGCTTTTGAACACTTTGTGTTCATTATAACTCATGTCTCATTGGGAATTTGTACGAGGAGTTGCTGGATCGCCATGACAAAGCTGGAGATTTTGCAAGTTGACTTTGAACTTCAATCGATGATGGATCATTTGAAGTTGACTATCAAGCTTCTGACAACACTTGTTGGAATTTTTGAGGTCTTCCTCAAAAAAATTGTCCCAGTTAGAACTTTTGGCAAATCTCAAAATGATCTCCAATAATGATTTGCTGGAGATAGCCCCTTTATTGTGAATTTTTGAGATATTCTCAAAAATTCTGTCCCAGTTTTTATTACAGGGTGAAAAGAAAATCACACTGGGTATATGACCGAGCCATCATGGCGCCTACATATCCTGTTGAGCCAGGAATCAGGTCAAATGTAGTTCCAATCCTGTAGATGATGAATACTGCAAAGAATCTGAGACAAGATCATCAGTAGAAAATGTGCAATGTGAACATAATGAAATAGCAAGACGATATTCTCTGTCATATTCACAGTTTAAAGACAAAAGACATGTCACACTTTTTTTAGGAGGAACGACCCAATGAAGTAAAATAGGCGTCTCACAATAACAGAATTAGCCTAATGAAACTTTTTACAATAAACAACCCAAAAAGGAAAGGCAAAATCTCTTCTTTTTTTTTAAAATAAAATAAAATATATATGTTCTGGAAAACATTAAAGAATGGGTGCTTGCCCTCTATTTTTTTTTTGTTTCTGAAATATAAATAATATAAAGAGACAGTCAAATCTTGACTACAATTGGTACCAAGAGTTAGGATCGCATGTAAAAAAAAAAATATTATTTTTTTATTTTTTTTAACTAAGATTGAGTTCAAGGTAACTCCTA